CAAAGTTTGGCATGCTGGTCTTCTCCATAAGCTTGCTTCATATGGTGTTTCTGGGAAAGTTTTTGAGATTATCAAATCATTTCTTTCTAACCGGTTTATTAAAGTCATCCTTGAAGGCCAACACTCTTCTTTATTTCCAGTAACTTCTGGGGTTTCCCAAGGTTCCATCCTGGGCCCTGTTTTGTTTCTTATCTACATAAACGATCTTCCTGACAACCTTTCATCTAAAGTAGCTCTTTTTGCTGATGACTCATTTTTATACTCCTGTCTTGACAAAAAGTCTTCTCTTTTCGATCGCCTAGAACAAGCAGCTGATCTTGAATCTGATCTCACTTCAGTAATAGATTGGGGTTCACAGTGGCTTGTGAATTTCAACTCTAAAAAAACCCAATTGCTTACTGCAAACAACTACCGTAATATGGTCAACATTCCTATATTAATGAATGACAATCCTCTTACTGAGTCGTCCTCTTTACGTCTTCTTGGATTATCGCTTACTACTGACCTTTCATGGAAACCATATATACAATCGATTGCTAAATTAGCTTCTGCTAAGGTTGCTTCTCTTTATCGTGCTCGCCATTTCCTTACTTCTGATTCCAATCTCTATCTCTACAAATCTCTTATTCGTCCCTGTATGGAATACTGTTGTCATATTTGGGCTGGTTCTTCTAACGATTCACTCTCTCTTCTTGACAAGGTCCAAAAACGCATTGTAAATGTTGTTGGACCTGGACTATCTGCTAAGCTTGAACCTCTTTCCCATCGTCGTAAAGTTGCATCTCTTTCTCTTTTCTACAGATACTATCATGGTCACTGCTCAAAGGAGTTATCATCTCTAGTTCCATCAACTAAAATTCATTCTCGTTTTACTCGTCATTCAGCTAAGTCTCATTCGTTTTCTGTATCTGTCCCTGCATGCTCTAAAAACTTTTATTCATCTAGTTTTTTTCCCCGCACTTCAATTCTTTGGAACTCTCTCCCATCTTCATGTTTTCCTGACTCATACAACCTTCAACTTTTTAAGTCTTCTGTCAACCGTTTCCTTGCTCTATAACTCTGTTCTTTTTTTTTTCCTAGTAACTCCCAACTTAATAGTGGTTGCTTACAGCCTTGTTGGGAGTGAATGCAAATAAAAAAAAAAAAAAAAAGTTGTTTCTCATGATATACCGTAACACGGGGTTACTTTGTGCCTTAAGTTCCTACTTTGTTCCACCACTGAAAATTTAAGTTTCATGCTTCTCCTGTTCAAACGTCCTAAAAGTGGCGCGTTCTTTGCTATTTTTTAATTTATATGTGGCAAATACTGTCAAGAAACCATATTGCCTTTGCCGCACACTAAATAATACATCTGTTAATTGGATGTCAAAAAGTAACTGAACTTGTTTGTAAAATTTACTGTGCAGAACTTCTACGTGGTTTGCTTTTGTAGTACACACTACAGAAAAAAAAATCACTGAGTTTGTTAGACTAACACTTTGGTAAAAAGATTTGAGTATTTTTTTTACTGTTTTTTTATTCAGTTTTGAGAAAAAAATAACTTATCTTATTTGAGTGAGTTTTTATTTAAAAATGGGGTTACTTTAGGCCGGACTTAAAGTAACACCACATCATAAATAAAATCCAATCATTTTATTTACATTAAATGGACATATCATATGGTTTATTTCTTAATTTTATTTATTATTGCTATTGTTATTATTATTATTATTATCATTGTTATTATAACAAATATGATAAATTAAAGTTATTAATAGATATATTATTATTATTATTATGAAATTATATATAAAATATTTATATATTATTGATTTTATTTTTTGTTTCTTTAGTTGTTGTTTGTCTGTTGTTATTTTTATATTGTTTATTATATTAATTAGTCTTGTACTACTTGTCCCCTCACAAAAGTCTCTTTTCATAGTCTCTTCAAAAAGGTTTCTTTGCATTTCTTCTTTATAAAAGTAGTCTCTTCACAAAAGTCTCTTTCATAGTCTCTTCAAAAAGGTTTCTTTGCATTTCTTCTTTATAAAAGTATTGTATTAATTTTACTATGTTGTAAACTATTTTCTTTTAATAGTAAAATATTGATTGATTTATATTCTAGCTAATAAAAATGCCAAGAATGTATACTAGAAGACCAGGCTCCAGAAAATATGTGGACTATTCTCCAAAAAAGCTCCAACAGTGCCTTTCTGCTATTAATGAAGGTCGAATGAGCCAGAGAGAAGCATCAAAACATTTTGAAATATGTAGAAATACCATACAAAACAAACTGAAGCTAAAGCACAATCAAAACCCAGGGCATCCTACAATATTTACTGCTTCGGAAGAATCAGCTTTTGTTGCTCACATCGTGGCAGTGTCTGAGTTTGGATTCCCTTTGGATGAATTGGATTTTAGGTTTATTGTAAAGGATTACCTCACTTCGCAAAATAAAACTATTCCACAGTTTAGAAATAATTTTCCAGGACTAGAATGGAGTAAAATATTTTTAAAAAGACATCCTATGCTTACTTTGCGCTTGGCAGCCAATATAAAACGCTATCGGGCTGCAATTAATGAAAAAACCTTAAGTGAGTATATTGAAAACCTCGCCCAAGTTGTTACAAATGTGCCAGCAGAAAATATATACAACTACGATGAAACAAACCTAAGTGATGACCCAGGACGCAAAAAAATTATATGTCGTAGAGGCTGTAAATACCCTGAAAGAGTAATAAACTCATCAAAGTCCAATATTTCAGTCATGTTTTGTGGCAATGCTGCTGGAGGTACAATACCACCTTATGTTGTCTACAAATCAGAACATCTGTGGTCCACATGGACTGAAAACGGTCCCCATGGAACTAGGTACAATCACACAAAACATGGATGGTTAGATAATGCTACATTCGAGGAGTGGTTTACTGCTCACCTGCTTCCTATACTGAAAAAACAGACCGGAAAAAAAGTTCTTATTGGGGATAATTTGTCATCGCACATTAGTCAGAATGTTTTAAAACTGTGTAAAGAAAATAACATAGTATTTGTTTGTTTACCACCTAACTCATCGCATTTGACACAACCTCTAGATGTTGCCTATTTTAGGCCACTAAAAAATAAGTGGAAAATTGTTTTAACTTTGTGGAAAGAATCACCTGTAGGTAAAAAATCTACAACACTTCCAAAAGGACACTTTCCATCACTTTTAAAAAAAGTGCTGGAATTAATAAAAGACACTTCTAGTGAAAATTTGATATCAGGTTTTGCTAAGTGTGGAATTTTTCCCTGTGATAAAGAACCTCTTATTAATCGCCTACCACTGCAGGATCGATCATCTGCTGATCTAAGTCTTATTTCTAAAGCATTTATCAGTCATTTGAATGACAATCGTGCAGACCTTGGACCTTCAATGTTAAAGCGCAAAAAAAAACTAAATGTTCCACCAGGAAAAGGAATCTGTCCTGACTCAGAAGAATCAGATGTTATACCAGTCAAAAATACTGTAAAAGTGTCCCAGAAACGAAAAAAAGTTAAATGTGTTATCTCTAGTGCAACATCTAACAGTGAATATAGGTGTAAGCTACGTGCATTTAAATCTGACTGAAACAATTATTATTAAACATTATATGTTTATATAGAGTAGATGCCTACCTACTTGTTATTTAGTTATTGTTTATTGTTATTACAGAACAAAAAAAATATTTGATACAATATACAAAGTTTTTTCCTTTTTTTTTTTTGTCTTTATATAGATCAAAGGCCATTTGTTTTAACAATTTCGAGATATTTCCTAAAGTAAATATTAAGTTAGTATTTGTTTTAAGATTATGAAAGTAATTATTTAAGTAATTTGAATGTTAATAAAACAAAACAGCACACCAAGTATACATGGCCTAAAGAAACACCAACCCAGGGTAACATTAGGCCACTTTTTGGAAAACTAAAAACTATATCTGTTTTTAATCTATTTTATAAATTAAATAGCTCGAATTAAAGGTTAATACCTTTATTAATAATTTGAATAAAAAAAAGATTGAAAAAATATTTTGAATAGACCAAAATTGATCGTTAAAACCAAAAATCGCAATAAAGTGGATTGAAGTAACCCCATGTTACGGTACTTGGTTTTTTTTAAAAAAGATTTTTTCAATTAACTTTTTTTCGAGGGGTCTTCTACCTTAAATGGCATAACAACACTTATTTTAAAATGTATAATATAAGTGTATAATATACATAATTTTTTCTTAAAATTAAAGGATAAATCATATAAATATAATATTTATTATATTTAAATATAAAAGTAACCTCATTGTTTACGTCTGCTTTAATTGGGTATTTTATTTTTATTAATATTATAGAATATTTCTCCGTTTTAACTGTAGGATGTAGCAGGGTTAGATTTTGGCGTTTACTAAATTTACTCCTGCCGTTAACCAAACGGAGGCATAGGAATACGAGTTTATTTTATCGCTGGAGTTAAAACTGCCGTCTTACTTTTAACCAGTCGATAGCTTGTCGTAGGGTTTAACGGACGAACGGCTGCATTCCACTGTAAAATGAGTATTAAACTTTTGGGGTAACTTAGATCACCCTGTACAAAAAACCAGAATATTATGGTTCGATCCAAAACAAAATACTTTTTTTATCACATTTGGATCTTTTTCTAAAAAATAGATTGAAAAACAAATTTTTAGCTTTGCACAGACAACATTTTGTTTGATATTTTTCGTTGTATTTTATTTAGATGTAGTTTCAATTCTTTTTTTATAGAGAAGCATTTGCAATAAATTTCACCTTACAATATATGCAAGGAGAGTTGTATTTACAAATGAAATAGTTACACGGTTTTACGGTATGTAATCAAGCGTTTACTCATAAAAGTTCTTTTGATTTGCGTTTTTTGTTTTAATACTTTTTTTATTTTATTCTTACATTTTTTATAACTTACATTATCTAACCTCACGAGTAATCCATTGCCATTCATCTAGATTTGTGACGAATCTTAACAAATCTAGAAATTCACAAAATTTATGTCATCACCCGAAATAAAACTTAATGACAATTACAATATCTATGGAGGGATTCTTATAAAAGGTTCATGATCATTAAAACATGCATCAAAAACACTTTCAACAGTTGATCTTGCAGTATCCTCGTCAATTTTTTTTGATGCCATCATGTGCTTTACCGCCATATTACGAACACAAGCCTAATTTAAAAAAATAGCAGTAAAAATATTATAACCAATTATAGATAATAATAATAATAATACAAACACAACAACAAAATACTTGCTGCTGATATTGCCAACCAAATCGAAACCTCAAAAAATTTTCCTTCCAAAAAAAGCAATCTCCAGTTAAATTGGCAACTCGAATCTAAAATAAAATTTTATTCACATATATACATAAATACATACAAATACACGTGTATGTATGTATGTATGTATGTATGTATGTATGTATGTATGTATGTATGTATGTATGTATGTATGTATGTATGTATGTATGCATACATATATATATATATATATATATATATATATATATATATATATATATATATATATATATATAATGTTAAATAAATGTTAAAACTTACTGATGAGCAGGCTAAATGTTTTAAATTATTAAGGTCATATTTAACTCTGCAAACGTCATATGCATGAATAAGCTCATGTGTCAAAACATCGTCCATAACCTTTTGATTGGACAGGTCATTTTCACAAATCACTATCTATAAAAATGCAAGTAAATACATTCTTTTCTAATGCTTGAGATAAACCTTTTTACAAACCAATTGAAATTTCGTAGTCTCTAATACAAAAGTACGCGTTTCGTAGTCTCTAATACAAAAGTACGCGAGCTGCAATAATCACGCAAATATCGCAAATTCTGTTAATTCAATGTATATTGAGGCTACACATTAAAATTTAAAAAAGTTGAATGAAAAAACTATATATTATAAATTAAGTATTATAAACAACATATTGAAGTAAATGAAAGTAAAAAATTTCGCTACAGATGAATTTTCGATATTAGGACAATGAAAACCAGGTAAATCGATATTTAGCTGTACCTTTTTTCAAAAACAAAAAATCAAAAGGAAAAAATTATTAATAAATTTAACAGGTCAATGAGTCTTTTTCGTATCTACAAACGATACTCACTTTATATACATACAACAATTACGTTAGGAATAATATTCATTGTACAAGTGTGGATAATATATAACTTCTTATATAATTCGCAAAAGAAAGTTAAAGTCAAGTTTCCTAATTACTGCGTAAACAAATCAATTTCGAGAAGTTTGAAGACGTCGGTAGGACAATGCAAAAAAGAAGGTAGAAAAAACGCATTTGTATTTTATATTACAACATCTATGACTGTTTACGAATGTTATATTTACGTGTTATTACATCAACTTCAAATCATATATACTAGACAATGTAATGTTGACTATGTGATTTTATATGAAAATGGATACAAGTTTCAACCCGAAAAGCTTCAACAATTTGTTAATATTCGACTGAGAAAAATAAGACCAAAAAATATGATTTCTGCATCATACGACGATTACTACAAAAACTGTTACATCAAGTTGGAAGTATTTAGTTTATATAAGTCATATGAAAGAATTGTCTTTGTTGATGCGGATGGAATATTTTTACAAGACCCGTACAAACTTTTTGTTTCAAATTTGCATCCTTATAAAATAGGGGCTTCACTTTGCAATTGGTTTTTACCTAAAAAATGGCTTTCTTCAAGCATTTTTGTGGCTGATTTAAACGAAGAGCTTTACCGCAAAGTCAAAACAATATATAAAATGGATCTAAAAGAATTGTATCCAATGAAAGGAAAAATACTAGATATGGAGATTTTTAATTGGATTTTTAAAGAAGGTAACGAAACAAAAATTCTTGACGATCTTATGAGCTTAGATAGTCATTTTATAGACAAAGATTACATCAAGTGGTTTTATGATTCCAGTCCTCGACCACACTACGTACATTTTAGTCACTTTAAACCACATTTAACAAGAAAACATTCCTCTTGTCTCGATGAGAAAAGAATAGAAGCAAAACCTGAATTTTTTAAAGTTTACAGAGAATTTTGGAACTATTATTATATATACTGTTCTTAATAATACACACACACATACACACACAGAGATTTTTAAAAATACATACAGGCAGATAAAAGACTAAAAGTACACTATGTGGCCTCCCTACTTTGACCCATTATTTCAATTAAATCCATTTTTTTTTTACTGTAACATTAACATGACAGTTATTAGTAATAGACTTCATGATTTTAAAGTTTTTTTGCTACGATTTTAACAAAAGATGCAGCAAAAGTTTAAATATCTTGATAAAGTTTAAAAATTTACTGAACCATTAAAAAAGCTTTAAAATTGAAAATCTCTTGTAGTGGGGAAGAGGGGAAGGGTTGTTACTAAAACATCAAAAGTAAGCTTCTTGGAATATTAGTTGAAAAATGAATTTACAATAAAAGATGACAAAATGCAAAAAAACGTATGTAAAAAAATATTTTTTTATGAGAAACATCATGCATAGAAGAGAGATGATATTAAATTAAGAAAGAAAATTAAAAAAAAAAGAAAATTTTATTTTTATTTATGTTTGCACCCTATAGGATGCAAACATAAATATAAAATAAAATTTTCCCAAAATCAACCCCCCCCCCACCCCCAACACAGAACATCAATTTGATTGTGATATAGTTCAATAAAATCACTTTCAAATATCAATCAATAAATTAGTTATTATAGTTAAATAATGAAACAAAATAATAAAGTAAAATAATAATATCACTTTTACAAGACACACAAACAAAAACAAAATTTTTAATTCAAAACTCTAACATTTAGAAATTAAAGAAAATTTTTTTTGTTTAAAAATTAAATAGAAGTTAAACCTGGTTTTTTTCTGTATCAAAAGCTGCAACAAGTTTTGGAGTGCAGGGCTCACAGACAATATTTTTCTGCTCAGTACTTGTTGCACTAAAACAAAACTTAAATAAGTTAAAGTGTCACACACAAAAATCTTTTTATTTAATAATATAATTAATTTACCATCCAAGCTTTAGTAATCCATCCATCAAAATCTTAACATACTTTGCTAAATGAAATGTATTTTTTATTAGAAAAAATTATTATAATAATAATTCCATTATATTTATCTGTTGCTATTCTAAAAATTAAAAAATAAAAAAAAGCTTTTGTAAAGTATTGTGATTATTATGTTTTGGTTAATGATCGTTAATTGGTGAAAAGAGTCGTAAGTTGTATTTATAATAATATATATAGTGAACAACTTTTGTTCACTATATATATTATTATAAATACAACGATTGTTATATAAATAAGACGAGATTGTTTATAAGTAGAAAAACATTAAATACAAGATGGCTTTTGAAAGGGTTAAACAACAAGTTAACTGAGCATGTCTATTATCTCCTCAATAAGAAGATGGACAGCCAAAGCAATTTGTTCAACAGATGACCTCTTTGTTCATAAAAAACAATATAACTTCAGCATGTAGCATACTTACTTGCTGCTCTACTGCTGAAGACTTTAAAGACCATGGAAGAAGTAACAGCACCAGAAGTTCCAAAGGACATTTTTTTACGAAAAATCAGTGACAAAATTGGAAATGCTAGAAATAAGAAAATCATTATTAATCTCATAGTACGAATTTGGTGAAACTTATCGTGAAAATGAAGAATCTACACATATGTTTGCGAGTGATTCTCGCAGCTCAAGATTGCAAGTCCTTAGAGAGAGAGTTTCGTGATGTTTGTAGCAGTCTTTAGCAGCATAAACATGCTGCTAAAGACTGCTACAAACATCACGAAACCAGGAAAACTGGAAAAGTTTGCATTAGGTACAAGAACTCGTCCTGACTTTTACTACTACTGACTTGGTAATAAACAGAAGAAATACTACAGCGCTTATGGATACTGGTTGTTTGCAATCAATCATCACTAAGAAATTACTGCAATCTGACTATTAAGTGTAGTAGATGTTGCAACAATGGGCGGAATAATTTGATGTGAAAAAGTTTGTGTTAAAATACAAGATACAATAAATGGGTTCTTGATGGATGTGTTGGTTTTAAGCGTAGATGAAGTAATAAACAATTTTTTTTTAACTCTGATTCACTTCCAACGAGGCAAGTAACCACTATTAAATTGGGAGTTACTAGAAAAAAAGAATAGAGGTAAAGAGCAAGGAAACAGTTGGCAGAAGACTTGAAAAGTTGAAGGTTGTATGAGTCAGGAAACAAAAATGGGAGAGAGCTTCAAAGATTTTAAGTGCAGGGAAAAAAAATAAACAAAATTTTTTAGATTTTTTTATCAGGGATGATACAATAAACGAATGAGACTTTGCTGAATGACGAGTCAAGCAAGAATGAGTTTTAGTTGATGGGACTAAAAATGATTGCTTCTTTGAGCAATGTCCATGGTAGTATTTATAGAAAAGAGAAAGAGATGCAACTTTGCAACAATGGAAAAGAGGCTCTAGCCTCTTTCCCATTGTTCCCATAAGTCGTTAAAAGTCACTAATTTCAATAATGGAATGTGCATGTGGAAACACAATGCGAATAAAAAAAATGTGCAAATAAAATAAGAATAGAAAATTAGAAAACTGTTAAAAGAAAATTGAAACTGCAGAATATTTTTAATCTTGTGAAAATATCAAGATTTATTTGATTTATTGTTTGTAATATTCCACACATCGTTTATAATAAAAACAAATATTAATAATAGAGTAATATTTAAAATTAGTTTTTCTTCATAGTATAGGTTTTTTATTAACTATTATTTATTTTAATTCAAATTTAAAACGATTCTGTTGTTTAGAATGTTTGCAATCAAGGACATTCCAAAAAAAGCAAAAGAAATTTATTTTATTGACAAAAGCAACAACATTGATTACAAATCAAGTTTTTGATGACAATGATGAAATAGACAGTGCTGATAAAAAATGACTGACAAATAAGCTGCATTCAGTATCGAAAATGTAGAAGAGGAAACACCATTGACAACAGTTGAGGGGAAAATCTGTTATTTAACTTATAACGAATTGTTTTTAAAAAAGAAGATTTTCAAATTATTTTTGTGTTATTTTTTTAAGATAAAAAAAAAAACGTAATTTAAATAAGAAATTTTAGAAAAAAATTTAATAATTAATAATTAATTTGAATAAAAAATATCAAGAAATATAAAAACCTTTAACCATAAATTAAGTTTACAGCGTAACATTTTTAAATACATATATCAAAACAACGTAAGCAAAAAACTAAAACTATACTTCAATACTAAATCAATAAGAAGTTGTGTTTTTGTTTAATATTATATTTTTTTTAACATAAAAAGTTAAAAAAACAAATCACGATCTGACGCAAACAATATGCAAGAAGTTTGGAATTATAAAAATCTACTTTGTTAAAGTAGTTTCGTAAGCGTGATACTAATTCAAACATTTGTTGACAAAAGAATGATGTAACAAATAAAAAAAGATATGAAAAATAAAAAGCTTTTTATGAGCATCGTCTTCAGCAATTTTCACAATCGCGCTTGTCGGTGTTATCTCAAGCGCACATAATCACACTCGATTAAAACATATTCTAATTTTACCAGCGCGATATAACACGCTTGACGATTTTCTTTATCACAAGCCCTGATATATGGTTTCCATGAGAGGTCAGAAGTAAATGATAATCCAAGAAGACATAAAGAAGAGGATTTAGTAAGAGGGTTGCCATTCATTAATATAGGAATGTTGACAGTATTGCGATAGTTGTTTGCAGTAAATAACTGAATTTTGTTGGAATTGAAACTTACAAGCCACTGCAAGCCCCAATCTGTTACAGAACTGAGATCAGATTTAAAATCAGCTGTTCAAGATCAATCTGTTCTTAGAGATCGAAAATAGAAGACTTTTTGTCAAGGCAAAAAGTTGAGCAAAAAGAGCTTTAGATGTTGTCAGGAAGATTATTAATGTAGATAAGAAACAAAACAGAAATCAAACGTTGAGGTACCCCAGAACTTACTGGAAATGAAGAAGAGTGTCGGCCTTCAAGGATGACTTTGATAAAGCGATAAGAAAGAAATGATCCAATAATCTCAAAAACTTTCCCAGATAAACAATACAATATACCATACATAAAATTGGCACTGCAAAATTGAAATTCTGTAATTCTTTAATTTAATTGTCATTGACACTTCCTGTTATGACAATTGAAATTGGAACAAGCAAAGTTTAATTTGATGGTGAAAAATGGAAGTTGGGAATGGGAAAACGAACCTAACATGACAAACAGAAAAAGTCAATCTGACCAATTAAACTGACCATTGTCAGGCTTTTAACAACAAAATAAATGAATGGATCAAGGAAGGCATACTCATCATGGCAATAAAATTATGGGAAAAGCTAAAGGTTTACTATTTGCTATTTGCTAAGGTAATAGAATGGTACTGATCCACATTATTTAAAATAATAAAAATAAGATAAGACCTGGGCTTGATTATCGCAAGCTTAACGCATATGTAAAAGCCTCCACAAGGGATGCAGATGTCAATAACAATGCCATAAGGAATTGGAAATTCATGTACAAAAAAAGCAATAACTCAGTGATGGACCTAAAATGAGCATACCTACAAATTTATGTGCATAAAAGGCATTGGCCTTACCAAGCTGTCATTTATAAAAATCAGCAATATGCGCTTACATGATTAGGCTTTGGTTTGAATTTAGCACCAGTAATAATGAGCTCAATACTGTGATGTTCTCCAACAAAATTTTGCACTTCCATAATCAACAAGAGGATACATTGACACTCTGGCAACCAATAGAAATGAAAGATGGGGTCTTCACCTAAATTTTTTGGCAAAAAATCAGTCTGTCCATTAGAATTGGAAGTCACAGTAAACCCATTAACAAAGAAAATGATAAAATAGGATGGGATGAACCTATTATAAAAAAATATATTATTGAAATGATGCAGGAAGTTGTAAACAAAGTCTTTAAATGCAATCCGGCAAAAGGTGTATGGAATGTTAAATCAAATGCATCTCTAACTATATGGTGTGATGCAAGTTTGCTAGAAAAAGTTTTTTGACTTTTTAGTTTTTAAAAACACTTTTTTAATAAGTTGATTTTAAAGAAATTAAATTCAACTTATTAAAAAAGTTGATTTTAATTTCTTTAAAATGAACATTTTTAATAAGTTAATTACGTTCATAAAATCTAATCGTTGTTAAAAGTCATGTTAATAAAATTAGTCAAAAAATTCTTTTGATTAATTTTATTACTTTTGAGTTATGTAAATAAACATTGATTTTTTAAAAATTAGTTTAAACAAAACGTTTGTTGAAATTGGAAGATACTGTATTCAGAAAGCATCACTAATGACAATCAGTACTAACTACACAGGTTGCAAAACCGTCATTCCTGACGGGCAATTATTTAACAAAAGCAAAACAGTTTATGTTTTATAAGATTTTTCATTTAACCGAATAGTCGGTTAACCGCTAATTGATGGGAACTGTTATCTGGTTTTTTAAATGGATACTGAACAAATACACTAGATGCAATATATGACAACGTAGCCGAATTAGACTCATACACTGAAGGTCTGAATGTGACATTAAAATGGAACTTGAGTGATGTCTCTATTAAAACTGATTCTCAGAGTGTATTCAGTTGGTTAAAATCTGAACTGACTCATAATAAACCTGTAAAATGTGCTGGCTGGTCAAGGATATTGCCATAAATGTAATTGTTACATGGGTGCCAACTACTAAAAATATTGCTGATGAACTCACATGAGTGAGTTAAATCAAGTAACTAAATGGTTAAAAACAAAGTTGCAACGCAAGAATATAATAGCTTTTAAATGTGTTGAACAACATATAGGATAAAAATCTCCTTAATTACTCAGTTCATACAATATTTTACAAACTAATTTAAATGTTTGTGGTCAAATAATAACATATTATTAATATATTAACATAAATATAAATAAATTTTGCAAATTGCAAATAAAAAACTTTTTTTTAACTAGTTTTAAGAATAAAATAAAATAAGAAATTTTGAATATTAGAATGTAGTAAGTAAGAATAAAAGATCAGATAAAAAGTGAAAGTATAGAAATAGGGATTATCATACATTAGGCAGTAACATTTTAAGTCATTTTTGAATTTGTAGACTTTTTGTAAGATATCACAATTTACTAAATTATAGCAAAACTGTCACATTCAACAAGAGAGACATATGATTCAACTTTTGTAGTAACTTTAAATAATCTTTAATAAACTTTTATCAATCAAAATAATCTAACAATTGTTAGACTTCTCTAGAAAATAACATTTAACTAAGGTTTCCTAACCTCCATAGCGTAACCTATGTATTTGAACATTTTGACTTCAGATATCAACTACAAGAATATCTTTTAAAAAGTTTATAGCACAATGTAATGCAGCTAAAAAGCAGCAAAGATGATTTATTTTCGATAATAATTACTAAAAGCCTTTAAGAAATCATTTTATTAATTAAAATATAATATTTCTAAAATATCACGGTTAAATCTTCATCCTAAAAGACTCTTAGCACCAGTAGTTTTAGGATTGGATGCAACATAAAGTACAAGTTTTTAACTAGCATCAAAAACACTCAGACTCGCACATAAACATAACTGTTTAAATCATTATTTAGATAAAGCAGAATATATATATATATATATATATATATATATATATATATATATATATATATATATATATATATATATATATATATATATATATATATATATATATATATATATTTTAAGCATTACTATTTATAAATTAATGTCACAGATATCGCCGGTTGAAAAAAATTTATTTTTATAAGTTATATTATAAGTTATAATATATTTAGTTTTAAAGTTTATTCATATTTTAAAGTTCGTTATAATATAAGGAAATGAAAACTATATGAATAAACATAAAAATATATATTTTTATAAAATCTAAAATTAATAATTATTATAAAGTTAGTACTTTAAATACCTGAACATGATTTTTCTATCATCGCACAACATTTTAGATGCGCTTTTGTAGGCTGCTTTGAACTAATTTTTGAACGATGCAGCTGGCCATTTTCTCCAAGTGAAGTAATATTTTCCGCCGCATCCATTAAGACTGACATATACCGTATATATTTGCGTGTAAGTCGAGGTATTTATGTAAAAATTTTAAGTTTAAATAGCTACTTCAACTTTACACGGGTCAAAATAATTTTTTAACTCTAACTTTTTAATGTTGACGTTAGTTCTCGAGTAAAAGTCAAAATATTCAAGTAAGAGAGTTCTGAGGGTAATTCGACTTAAACGCAACGTCTAGTTATACGCGAACATACACGGTAAATATTTTGTTCCTTTTATTGACACCAATTTTACTTCGTAAATTTCAACAATTTTGTTGACGAGTCGATGTATCGCCGCAATATGCGTTGCTTGGAACCCATATGAGCAATAAAACTCAATTTTGGAAGATCAGAAACTTTGCATAATTATTATTATTTTTTATTTCGCCAATTAATTATATTTACACGTTAGAATATAAAAAAATTTGCGGGGTAAGAAGAAGACATTTTTTTGTCCTATCACCGCACAATGCGTCACTTCAATACAAAATGAGGAAATAGGATTATAAATAAAGAAGCATTCAGCCTATTGAGATGATTTATTTACAAGACATCGAATTTTAATTTATATTTCTATATTTAAAAAAAATATATCCGGTTTTTAAAAAAAAACAACAGTTTACTGTGTTTTTTTCGGGTAATGTAACTTTCGGGTACTGTAATTTTCCGGACTAATCCGGAAAATTACGAAATGCGGATATTTCTATTCAAAAAACAGTAGGCGCCGATATTTTAAAAAAATAAATTTTACAAATTATATTATTAACACAATTTAACAATAAACAGCATCATTGAATATAAACTTATTAAACTAAAGACAAATCTGCTATCAACTGATTCTTTGTTCTTTAGTTTCTAACAAAGTTTCTCCTCGTTCTATTATTGTATATTATTATGTTTTTAATAAGTTGGGGCTATGAAAAGAGTTTAAAAAAATTCAGCGCAGTACAGCTTATCAGTATAACATTTTAGTTCGTTATATAGATGTTTTTATATTAGTTAATTACTAGTTAAAATTTATTAAATTATTTCTTAAATTATTTTTAAAAACAAAAAACAACAAAACTTTGGATTGTTATTATAAACTGTATTGAGATTCTTTACCAGCAAAAACAAATTAACAAAAATAGCTCTACTTGTTGCACTTGTAGAAACGATCTAGTGAATTAAGAGAAAAAGCCCTGAAAGACAAAATTGATTTAATGATAAAACAAATTAATGAGTTGAAAGAAATAAAACCAACAGCCACACCATCATTTTCATCTTTGCTTAAGGACAAATCGGATGAGAGCAAACAGCAACGGCAGCAGTTAAGCACTTTTATCGCTGCTCAAAATAAAAATATTCGAAGTCGTGAGTTAAATATCATTGTAGTCGGTCTTAATAAGTCTAGTACTGTAGACGATAAAAAGCTTGTTGAGGATTTTTTTTGTAGCAACAGGATTGGAGGATGCTACTAGTATTGCACGTATTAACCGCCTCAAATCGAGCAAAAACAAAAAAAAATTGTCAAACTCGAACATTATCCAGGTTTCGTTATCAAATCTTTCATCTCGAGCGGAAATACTCAAAAAATGCGCACACCACAAACAAAAGGTATACAAGGGTGTCTAGACTACGCTAGCCGCACAGCCGCTCCTAACTTAGAAATCTCCACTGCCAACTAGACATCCTAGACCAATAACTAAAGCAAAAATAAAACCGATGCAATTCGACACTTCTACAGTTTCACCTAGCCATCTATGTTACTGGGCAAACAACCCATGTTCACTTTCAACAATGAAAAACGCCAAGAGCTCTTTGCTAGACTATCAGCTCTACATAAACTCAGCCGGCCACACGTCATTTTTTTTGCGAAAACTTGGTTCACAGATTAATCAGACGTTGCCATACCCGGCTACCAACCACATCGCAAAGACAGAGACAATAGGGGAGGTGGAGTTGCAATTTACACAAGAGACGATATCATAGTCAGCGAAGTTAGTTCTACTCAGCTCAACATCAATTGAGCAAATCTGGCGAAAAATAAAACTTGGTCAAGAATCATTTCTCCTCGGCTGCTTATATCGTCCACACGACGAAAATGATCAAAATCTTACTCAGTGTATCACATTGATTACTACCGCTCAAAAAATACTGCCTAATATAAACTGCTCTGCAATGCTACTGTATGGCGATTTCAATTTTAGTCATACATTTTATGAGCCTATCGAAGTTAACGGTGGCATTGCAACTGCTGCTCACGTGAGAGGTGAACGTCAAGGCGACATCAGGTTCCAGAAGTGCCTTGATAAATATCACTTAACTCAGCTTATCACATTTCCAACCTACCGTAGTAGTCGACACGTCGAGCCTACTAGCACACTCGACCTTATTATAACAAATGAGACCGTGTAATCTTCATTAAATAAGGTGATTCTCTTGGTGACACTTCAATAGGCCAAGCACACTGCTTCAGCGAAGGCCAATTTGCTGTTGCATGCCTCAACAACTCGCCTACTTTGCCGCTAAAACCTCGACTCATTTGGAGTCGAACAAACTACGCAGCAATATCAGCACATATTGCAGCTGTTGACTGGGAAATAGTATTCACTAGACTAAATGCAAACGAAGATTACCAACTTCTAGCAAACGTGTACAATGAAGCCACTAACCTACACATTCCGTCAACTACCACTCCCTTTACAGGAAAACAGGAGCAATGGGTAAGACTAGAACTTATTGAGGCGGTCAAAGCTAAACGCACCACTTGGGCCAAGTTTATTAATGCAGGTCGAGATACGCACAAATTTCTCAAAATATCGCACTGCCTGCAAAAAAGTTAAAAAAATATTCAAAGCTAGTAGGCAGAAATACGAAGAACTACTCGTCAGGGATTCCGAAAAGCAACCCTAAACGCTTACATGCATATATAAGAAGCAAGCAGAGCGTCAGTAACAACATTACATCGCTTGAAACAGTCAATAGCAACATCACAACCGATACCGGTGATATATGCGCATCGTTAAATAACTATTTTCAATCAGTGTTTGTTTTAGAGCCCGAAGGTTCAATGCCAGGCTTTGAAAGTTGTACAGAAGCAGTTTGTGTCATCAATCCAGCAATTTTCTTTATTGACATAGTACAAAAATGCCTAAACAGCCTTGATGAAAGAAAATCAACCGGCTACGATGGCTTACATCCACGAGTCCCTAGTAAATGTTCAGCTACCTTTGTCAAGCCTATTTCGCTTATATATAAATGCTCGTTTGCAACTGGTGTTGTTCCTGACTTGAGGAGAAAACTGAATGTAACACCTATTTTCAAGAAGGGAAGTAGGCTAAAAACATCCAACTACCGGCCAGTCTCTCTCACTTCCATACCTTGCAAAATTATGGAAAGTGTTTTACAAAAAAGAATAATGGAACACTGCGTTCCTAATGGTCTAATTTTTCCCAACAAGCATGACTTTGTTCATCGTAAGTGATGCGTATCAAACCTTTTAGAAACTTGGGACATCATGACGGAAGCAATTCACTGCAGACACGCAATAGACGTCATTTACACAAACTTTGCAAAGGCGTTCGACAAAGTACCACATAAACGCCTCCTTCATAAGCTGAGAGCATACGGTATTCAAGGCACGCTGTTAGACTAGATTGCAGTTTGGTTAAACAATCGACGTCAACGAGTGGTTATAAACAGCATTACTTCTGAATGGAAAGCAGTCACTAGTGGAGTGCCTCAAGGCCAGGTCTTGGGACCATTGCTATTCGTAATCTTTGTAAATGACCTGCCGGACAGAATTACTCATTATATCAAAACTGTTTGCCGACGACAGCAAAATAATAGGGATAATTAAAAAGGAGTCGGACAGCATCACTCTTCAAGATAACATTGACAGAGCAGTGGAATGGTCACACATTTGGCTCTTGCATTTCAACGTTGAGAAATGCAAAGTAATGCATGTTTTTTTTTTTTTTTTTTTTTTTTTTTTTTAACATCTTCACTTCCAACAAGGCTGCAAGCAACCACTATAAGAGTTGGAAGTTACTGGAAGAGAAAAGACTAAATCTGTAGAGCAAGATAACGATTGACTGATGACTTAAAAGATTGCAAATTATATGAATCAGGAAAGCAAGATGAAGGAAGCGAATTCCAAAGAACTGATGTTCGAGGAAAAAAACTAGAAGAATAAGAGTTTTTGAAGCACTTAGGAACAGTCACAGAAAAAGGATGAGACTTAATTGAATGGCGAGTAACACGAGAATGAATTTTAGTAGATGGCACAAGGGACGCTAGCTCTTTAGAGCAGTGCCTATTATAGTATTTGTAGAAAAGAGAAAGAGAAGCAACATTACGACGATGTGACAAAGGTTGGAGATTGGCTGCCAGAGCAGGTCCAACTATGTTTACAATTCGTTTTTGCACCTTGTCTAAAAGAGAAAGAGCATCATTAGAAGATCCGCCCCAGATGTGGCAACAGTATTCCATACAGGGACGGATTTGAGATTTATAGAGATAGAGAATAGAATCTGGAGTAAGAAAGTGTCGAGCTCGATAAAGAGATGCAACCTTAGCAGATGCTAATTTTGCAATGGATTTGATATACGGTTTAAAAGAAAGATCAGAAGTAAGAGTTAATCCTAGAAGATGAATGGTAGATGACTCATCTAGTACATTACCATTCATAAATATAGGAAGATCTAAGAGTTTGCTGTACAAGCCTGATCACCGCATTTAAAATCAGACATTATTAAAAAATATCAACTATTAAACACCTGTTCTATGAAGATTGACTCCAACGGCTCGGTTTACCAACTCTTGAAGAACGCCGCAAAAGAGCAGATCTTATTGAGCAATTCAAAATCACTCGTAAACTCGAGCTTGTCAGTTTTGTCGTCCTGCAAAATTTTTCAAAAAGTAAAGATAAGTATATTCTAAGAGGCCATAACCATAATCTAGAACGTCAGATGGTAAAAAACTGTAAGGAGCGATATAACTTTTTTTCAAATAGAGTTGTCGCCCCATGGAATGCGCTTTCGCAAGAAGCAGTGAACGCTCAATCCATCAACGCTTTCAAAAACAACATAAGAAAGTAACTTTATAGATACAACTGCTGCTTTGTCTGT